TATATTTTTGGTTGTGAGCCTAGCCTTTAATGGCTGAGCTATCCCTCCAGCCCGACATTTGTCTTCTCTATGTGATCTGTATCCATCCTCCCTACCTCCTTTCCCCTCTCTCTGTGGTGATATTTTGTTTGTGCTTAAATAAATAAAGATTGCCTGAAGATCAGAGTGCAGAGCTAGCCACTAGTTAGCCATAGAGGCCAGGCAGTGGTGGCTCACACCTTTAATGCCAGCACTTGGGAGGCAGAGGCAGGTGGATCTCTGTGAGTTCAAGGCCAGCCTGGGCTACATGAGAGTGAATCGGTCTAAAAGAAAAACAGAGCCAGGTAAGGGTGGCTCACACCTTTCAATCCCAGTATTGGGAATTACATGCCTTTACTCCTAGCAGTAGGGAAGTAGAGAAAGGCAGGGGTATGGCTGGGCAGAGAGAGGAATGTAAGGTGGGAGGAGACAGGAGCCCAGCCCATTCAGTTTGAGGATTCCTAAAGACAGGCTCCGGCATTCAGTCTGAGGATGCCTAGGGACAGGGTGGCATCTTTAGTGTGAGGATTCAGTAGAGGTAAGAGGTCTCTCTTGTGGCTGGCTCCTTTACTTCTCTGATCTTTCAGCATTTACCCTGGTATCTGGCGCCAGGTTTTTATTATTAAGACCAATTAGAATTCTAGCTACATCTCTCTCTCTGGTCTCCTTGTGTATCCTGGCTGACTCTGAACTTACTATGTGGACCAGACTGGCCTCCAACTTGTGGCAATCCTCCTGTCTCTGCTTACTGAGTGCTGAGATTAAAAGCTGTGTGGAAACATGCTTGGCCTAAATTTTGTTTTTCTTGAGAGGACATCTCGCCTACAGCTCCCCTTGAAACTACAATGTTGGGATTATATGAATGTCTCGCCCTGCCAATCCATATCATATCCACATCATATGCCTGCATTATGCACGCCCACATGCACGCACGCAGGCATGCACGCACGCGCACACACGGACACCCTCCCTCCAGGGATGACCTTGAAATCCTGGCCCTCTTGCCTCCACTTTTCAAGTGCTGGGATTACAGGTGTGTTCAGTTTATGTGAGCCAGGCATCGAACCCAATTAGTGTATGTTACGTGAGCACTTGACCCCACTCTGCAAGACTGCTGTCTATGTATCTGAGTAATCTATATACATTTATGTCTTTACAACCTCTTATTATCTCTCATAGGTATCTAGATCATTCTTGCACTACATATATGGTCTATATCACTTGCTTGTATTTGTAACTATTCGGATCAATGCATATGTTCTCATCTTGTATTTATGTAAAATATTCAGAATAACATTAATATTATTACTATATATTTATGGAATGACTTTTTTTTTTAAAGCCAGATTTATTTTGGTTCTTGACTATAAAGCAGTTAAGGTCTAATATTTTCATCCACTCACACTCATGGACATCGTCCCAACTACACAGAGACCCAAACGGGGTCCAGACCAATCCTTGATGCTGCTGGAGGAGAGGCGTGCGGTATCTTTCTGATTTCAGGCTGGATTCCAGTAACTTCAGACGTTCCCGGGCGCTTTGCTTACAGCGTTCCACACATACATCCATCCATCATGAGACCCAAACCCAGCCAGGCTCGGCCAGAACGGACAGGCCGCAGTTTTTCCTAGCTGTGACATCCACAGACAAGACTAAATAGTTCAAAGCTCTCATCCAGGAATAAAAACTCTATAAACCCTCTCAGTCCAGCTAGTCCAA